TTCTCTTGCCTTCACCATGTTTGTAACCACACACCAGTAAATGTCTAGAAGGAGCTGAGTATCACAGTCATTTTAAAGCTGCCTAATTGGTGCTTATTATGCTTGATTGCTGCTGCTCGGTGACATCCACAGGTGTTTTCAATACCTGATGGAAAGCACCTGTATGAACCTCTGTTCTTCAGAGTGGTAGTCTTTAAGGGGTTGAATAATTGTGGCAATGAAGAAACCACATAAGAACCATTTACTACTGTATTACATAAACAATTGATGTCATTTTAGTTGCATTTGGGTAGTTACAAGTCCTTGTAGGATTTGATTCTGAATACAATTCCAAATGTACACTATAGTCCCTAAACCCCTTTACAGCATTGGGGGTTGAATAATTTTGGTCACAACTGTACACTTTTTGCCGGCTTGGAATTATTCTTCTTTTCATCCTACTTCTTTCTTCTTCTTCTTCTTCTTCTTCTTCTTCATCCTCATCCTCATCCTCTTCTTCTGAGGATGAGGATGAGGATGAAGAAGAAGAAGAAGAAGAAGAAGAAGTAGGATGAAAAGAAGAATAATTCCAAGCCGGCAAAAAGTGTATGTGCAGAGTTCCTCTATTCTGCAGATACACTTAGAGGAGCTCTGCAGATACACTTAGAGGATCTCTGCACATACACTTTTTTGCCGGCTTGGAATTAATCTTATTTTCATCCTACTTCTTCTTCTTCTTCTTTCATCCTCATCCTCAGAAGAAGAAGAAGAGGATGAGGATGAATCCATACAGCGGTTGAAACATTGTATCTATTTGTTTCCATAAATGGATCCATTTATGGAAACAAATAGATACAATGTTTCAACCGCTGTATGGAAGGACAGTCCCAGAACTGTCATTAATAGTCTATTTCTGACAGTTCTATGACATTCCCTCCATACAGCGGTTGAAAGCGCTGTATGGAGTGAATTTCCATAAATGACATTCTGCAGATACACTTAGAGGAGCGCTGCAGATACACTTTTTGCCGGCTTGGAATTATTCTTATTTTCATCCTACTTCTTCTTCTTCTTCTTATGAGGATGAGGATGAAGAAGAAGTAGGATGAAAATAAGAATAATTCCAAGCCGGCAAAAAGTGTATCTGCAGCGCTCCTCTAAGTGTATCTGCAGAATGTCATTTATGGAAACAAATAGATACAATGTTTCAACCGCTGTATGGAAGGAATGTCCCAGAACTGTCATTAATAGTCTATTTCTGACAGTTCTATGACATTCCCTCCATACAGCGGTTGAAACCGCTGTATGGAGTGAATGTCCCAGAACTGTCAGAAATAGACAGAAACTGTCACAGAACTGTCCCTTCTCCTTCTTCTCATCCTTCTCCTTCTCCTTCTTCTCATCCTTCTCCTTCTCCTTCTTCTCATCCTTCTCCTTCTCCATCTTCTCATCCTTCTCCTTCTCCATCTTCTCATCCTTCTCCTTTTCCTTCTTCTCATCCTTCTCCTTCTGCTTCTCCTTCTCCTTCTTCTCATCCTTCTCCTTCTTCTCATCCTTCTCCTTCTTCTCATCCTTCTCCTTCTTCTCATCCTTCTCCTTCTCCTTCTTCTCATCCTTCTCCTTCTTCTCATCCTTCTCCTTCTTCTCATCCTTCTCCTTCTCCTTCTTCTCATCCTTCTCCTTCTTCTCATCCTTCTCCTTCTCCTCATCCTTCTCCTTCTCCTTCTTCATCCTCATCCTTCTCCTTCTCCTTCTTCTCATCCTTCTCCTTCTCCTTCTTCTCATCCTTCTCCTTCTCCATCTTCTCATCCTTCTCCTTCTCCTTCTTCTCATCCTTCTCCTTCTCCTTCTTCTCATCCTTCTCCTTCTGCTTCTCCTTCTCCTTCTTCTCATCCTTCTCCTTCTTCTCATCCCTTCTCCTTCTTCTCATCCTTCTCCTTCTCCTTCTTCTCATCCTTCTCCTTCTCCTCATCCTTCTCCTTCTCCTTCTTCTCATCCTTCTTCTCATCCTTCTCCTTCTCCTTCTTCTCATTCTTCTCCTTCTCCTTCTTCTCATCCTTCTCCTTCTCCTTCTTCTCATCCTTCTCCTTCTCCTTCTTCTCATCCTTCTCCTTCTTCTCATCCTTCTCCTTCTCCTTCTTCTTCTCATCCTTCTCCTTCTCCTTCTTCTCATCCTTCTCCTTCTCCTTCTCCTTCTCCTTCTCCTTCTTCTCATCCTTCTCATCCTTCTCCTTCTTCTCATCCTTCTCCTTCTCCTTCTTCTCATCCTTCTCCTTCTCCTTCTTCTCATCCTTCTCCTTCTCCTTCTTCTCATCCTTCTCCTTCTTCTCATCCTTCTCCTTCTCCTTCTTCTCATCCTTCTCCTTCTCCTTCTCTTTCCTCATCTCCAAGGGCATTAAAATTAAAGGTACAGTGTTCTGCACTAATTTAAAGGCTCTCTGAAGCCTAGAAACCCTTTTAATAAGTTAACTTCGTAGCGAAGAAATTCGCATCGAATCGAATTTCACACTGGAATTCGCCGAATCAGCCGAATCGAATTTTTGAGAAATTCGCTCATCTCTACTTATAACCCTTCCACTAACCCTCCCTGTAACCCTAATACTAAAGTTGGCCATAGTCCAAAGTTGGACTGGCCAAATTTAAATCTACATCTGTCAATTCCTGCTCTACAGAAGTCGATCTAACCATTGACTTCCATCAAAAGAGAATGTTAGAAGGTTTTTCTCGATCATTGGCTGCAGCCACTTGTTAAAGTATTCTGACAGTGGAGAGTCACTGGTGTCAGAATACAATGTATCCCCCAGGAGGATTCCTCTATCCACCTCACTTGGTCACCTCTACACACCTTGCTCATTATTTTTTGTGGGCAGCCAGTGTTCAAGAACCCAGGCGCAGCTGTCAGATAGTGGGAGCCAGCGTCTTTTTTTTTTTTTTTCTTTTTCGGATTGGCGGTGGCTGCGGGCATCGTGATTGACATTGGATCTACTTCGAGGGACATTTTTTTAATTTTTGTTTTATAATAAAGGACTTGTGAAAGACTGTTTACTGTAATTTTTTACACTACACTTTTTTTGTGAATGGAAAGCAGTATCATGTACCCTATACTCATTCCCATAGGGGGGAAGCTGGGATCTGGGGGCCCCCTTGTTTAACGGGGGCTTCCAGATTCCGATAATCCCCCTGCCTGAAGACCCACACAACCACAGCCCAGGGTTGTGGGTAAGAGGCCCTTGTTCCCATCAATATGGGGACAAGGTGCTTTTGGGGGGGGGGGCACCCCCCATGTTGGCATGTAGCCTGGCATGGTTCAGGAGGGGGGGCTAGAATCTGGGGGGCCCCTTGTTTTTTGTGATTTTCCGATAAGCCCCCTGCCCACAGACCCCCAGAACCATTGGCCACTGTTGTGGGGAAGAGGCCCTTGTTCCTGTTAACATGGGGACAAGGTGCTTTGGGGGGAGCCCTCCTGCCCTAAAGCACCCCCATGTTGAGGGCATGTGGCCTGGTATGGTTTCGGGCAGGGGGGCTCCCCCTTTCCTGACCTGCCAGGACTGCAAGCTCAGATAACCCCCCACGCCATTTTTTTAAATGTTGGCGTGGGGGGTTCCCCTCAAAATCCATACAAACCCAATGGGCTTGGTTTGGATGAGGGAGGACCCTGCGCCATTTTTTTTTTTCTTTTTAATTGTCAGGTAATGCTGGCAATTCTTTTTACATTCAGCTGTCAGTTAAAACATCTAAAGAATGTTTTCATGAATAAAAGACTGCATGACTTAATAATATAACTCATTTTAGTAGCTTAGTGAATTGTCCCTGTTCGAAATTCGCAGTCGAACTTTCGGTAGGTTCAAATATTTGACCGCGAACTGAACAGGGGGGCTGATTAGCCCATCACTATTGGTGAGCTTTTATGTTTTCCTCTCCATTGTCTTCCCTCCACAGGATACTCCTTCTCCTCCCAAGGCAGGTTATTGCTGTGGATCAGCGGTTGTCAGACATTGTAATCGAGGTGGATCTGCATTGCAGGACGTGATTGATGATGGATTTACAGCAAGGGCCATGTTTGGGGATTCTTAATTTTTGTAATAAAGGATTTTTAAAATGTTTGGGTGTCTTTATTTCTAGGTTATTAACTTTCTGTGAATGAGTAGGGGTACTATGTACCCCATACTTACCCATATTTATTAACATGGGCTGCGGTATCTAGGTACCCCTTCTTGGTAAAAGCTGCTTACAGATTCCAAAAAATTCCAAAAAACTCTGCAGTCCCCCCCCACCAACCCCCAGCCAGGTTTGTAGGGAAGAGACCCTTGTTCTTTTCAACATGGGCTTTACTGCTGATCTGTGACATCCACTAACAAAAAAAACCCAAACACTGTTTTATCCATCATAATATGTCCTTGGGGGGGGGGGGGGCATTTAAAAAAAAAATCAAATAGTTGTTTAGCCATCAAAACTACATGTAAATTACTCTATAAGAATGGAGCAAAAATGAATGTTCTCCGACTATATTTTCTGCAGATCGAATGCGTGAGCATGGAAAATGCCAAATTATGGTCAGTAGTCAGCACTGTCTGGTGGCCATAATGCTGTATTTCCACATTCATACATTTTCAGGACGCAGAGAATAAAGCCTGACAACATTTGATTTTTTATATTTACACAGAAATAATTGATGGATGAACAGCTATGCAAATATTTTTATAAATAAATCCCATGGTGTTTTAAAACAATTCTTGATTTAAATAGTCAGTAAAGACAAATTGCAAGAAGAGCAGTTCCAAAAACATATTTTTAATAATACAGCAACCTGATTATTAGAAGAATGCATTCTTGTATTTTGTATTGGTGGACTGCATGGCCATACGTACAACTTGATAAGCTTTAAGACACAATTCCATAAATCAATAAATGCCTGGTATGTTTACCAAAGTAAAAATTGTCAATTTTACACAGTGTGCTTCTAAATAATAATGACAACAAATTACATTTCATGGGAAAATAGGTTGTCTTCTACCAAATATTGGTTGCTGTTCCAGGGACAGCTAAGGAAATTGTGGGAATGTCAGTTACATACAGTGTCATAGTGACAGTCATGAGAATAATTTGTTGGCTCCAAATCTCTCATTTTCTGTTCTGCAGGTCCACGTCTAATATGGTAGAGATCTTTGGTCAAATTCTGGATTTTGGGCAGACTATGCAGTATGTGATTCTTCTCTGCTTCACTGTCCTCATCAATGGCCACCCACACCTGCTCTTTTCCTGTCTGAAAAACAACACAGAATCAACGATAACAGGCTTAAAGTAGAACTTTAACATATTTTTCTACAAGTTTTAAGTTTCCCCCTCCTGTTTAAAAAAAAAATATTGGCAATATTCATTTACCCTCTTCATGCTCCAGTTCTGCCCCTGATGGCTTCCTTGGTTCAGTGCTGGCAGTATTCTTCAGGGTTGAATGACACTTCCATTTACTGTGAACCCAGCCTGTCGTTTACGTGGGGTGTCATCAGACAGGTTGGACTCTAGAACTCTAGGACTAAGCGACTCTTGCATGCCATTACATGAACACTGCTCAGTGCTAACACACTGAACCAATTTGCCCCAGACACACATTTAAGAGCATCTTCTATTCATGGGTTAGTGTACTGATCAGGAATAGTCCTCCAGGTGAATGTTCGGTAATCAATACACATTCTAAGGGAGTCACTACTACTAAGAGAGAGGCAAAGGGCTTTATGATTCTCAGATGGCACCCATTCCATAAAATTTGCTAATTGTTCAAGAAGGTCTTCTAGGTCACCCAAAAGAATCTGTTGGGCTCTTTCTCTGAAGAGCTTGCCTTCCTGAAGGCAAATTCTGTGTTGCAATTTTTGTGCACTCCACATCAAAGTAATTTTTAGAGAACATCCCTCACCATTTCAAGAGTTGGGCTTTGCCTCTTTCTTTACATTCGGATGAAATTGAGGTATTCTGTGGGTAGAGCCTCATCACATCCGCTGCTCCCCTCGCCAGATTGGATGGGGAGACTGGAAAAGCTGGATTTACTTGTCTGTTCAACATTCGGGCCCCAACTTCACAGGATAATCGGTAGTGTTGAGAACACTGAGGGTAATCCTCCCATGGCTTCATTGCAGCGCCTTGGTTGACACAATTTCAGGAATCAGCTCAATTCCAGTGTCCTCCTTCTACGAATCAGCATTGAGGACAACAAAAGGTCCAGGCTGGTCCCAGGTAAACTTGACTGTAACTCATAATCACGCTGCTTCCCATTGCATTACCTTCTTGCCCTTGTCCATTTTCCACAACTTCCCTACTCCTTTCCACTGGAGCCTTCTGCTTCTATACTGCATGCTGGTATGCTTGTGGTAGCTTCAGGTGGATGCCTTCTTGCTGCAAGGGGAATGAGTAGTCTCCTCACAAGATCAGTGTTTGTCCCCACTAGCAGGGAGTTCTTCTTAGCCCCAGGAGGAGGAGAGCAGACCACAGCTAGGGTATCAAATGTCTCTGATTGTCCAATTACAAAGGAATCGAATGTCAGCTTTATTGGTAAGTCCCCATCATAGGGGAACATCTGAGTCCCAATACCCCAGATCTCAAGGTCTTCCAACTTCTGTAGGGGTAAATGCTTAAGGTATTTCTAGGAGAAGTCTCAGTACAACAGGATTACTAGTGCTCCTGTGTCCAGTAAGGCTCTGGTATAAACACCTTTCACTTGGACTGGTACTATGGACGAAGGCCCTACAAACTTGTCAGGAAACTTACTCGGAGTAGGTTCAACAGCCTGTAACTGTACTTTCTTCTTGATCTGGTTTTGTTGCTTTAACTGTTTTGATGGAGATTGGTGCGCATTGTCTCCATGAGGCCAGGTAACTGAAGCCAAAGATGGTAAGTTGGACTGGTGCTGAGAAACAGAAGGGTGGCCCTCTGTGAGGCTTTATACCTCTGCTGTTGCTCCCTTGCATCTTTCATTTTTGATCTAGTTGGCTTCTTCACTGGGGAACTCTAAAGTTTCCCACCAGTTTCTGGCACTGGCATTTGGACTTTTGTGGGCTTGAGGACTTTTGTGGGCTTGGGCTTGTGGGCTTGAACAGACCCATCAGTAGTGCCCCACTCTTCTAATATTATAATTAGAAGAGTGAGGCAGTTAAAGAAAACCCTTTGACCCGTTGGTTTTTCAACAGAAACAATTGTACAGGTTAAAGACTGACTGGGCCCTGGTACATTTTCACCAGACATTGTGGTGATTTTGGCTGCCAGCTGAGTTATCACTTCCATCATTTGTGACATGGTAGTTATCTCCATAGTGACATCTGTCTCATCCACTGACCCAGCTTCATCCAGTAATGCTGGTGCTGGCCTAGCCAAGCTTTTCTTGGCCTCAAGTATGGTTTCCTCCTCTTTTACTGTTCTATTGATACTAATACTTTAGTGACATGCCATTCTCTGAAGTCTTTAGCTGGATGCAAACTGAATCAGAGTGTAAAGCACATCTCAGAATTTGCTTCATTCTGGCTTGATCTATATTTGCCATTCCTTTCTTAAGTGTGATTTGAAACAGCATCTTGTTTAGTAGTCTGATGTGCTCGGGCTGGTGTTCCTCCTGGCAGTGAAAGGCATATTTGAATTGATAAATCAGATCTAAAGCCTTCTTCACTTGCTCAAATTCCTCCTGCAACATGGTGAGGAAATCATAAGCTGTACAAGTCTGTTAACTAAACTTGAGATTTCTGATCTCCTCTCAAGCTCTCAGGGATACACTTTTTATTTTTTGCTTCGGGGACACCCCATTCTTCCAGAGCCAACATAGCCTGGCTTCATACTCCTCATCTTCATTGGGCATTGGCTGTTTTCCAAAGAAGAGTCTCAGCTTTCTGTAGCCTGCCCCTGAATGGATAATGCTAGTCTGATTATACTTTGCCATAAAGTTCCTCAAAGCATTGAAAAACTCTGCCCCTATGCTAATAGAGGCCACTGGCATAGGAGCTCCTTTTCGGGGGATGATGTGAGCTCTCTGGATTGGATCCTGGCACTCTCAGCTGTACGGGTTGCGACATCATTAGTCAGCTGTATACTAGCCCCTTGAAAGCAGGAAAGAATTTCTCTTTTCCGTTTCAGAATTACATGCTGTAGGTGTGAGAAGTGACTTGGTCCATTTTCATAGCCAGTCCATTGGTCCGGAGCTTGTGCTGTCACAGCTTGTCGGATCTGCTATTAAACCCAGTTATGGTTGAGCACATTGACTGCCACATTTCACTCCGGTCAACCATTTTGCACTTGGCACCAAGCTAGCTGCAGCAGGGTTTATGTTGACTGTCTCTGACTTGTTGTGTTGATTGTCTATGCTCAGAACAGCCCCATGTGTAGAGTTCCCCCTTAAGAAGCCACTTAGTAGATTGGTTCTGTGTTCTTTGCCTCGACTCAGTTGACAACCTCAGCCCCTCTGGCACACCAGATTAAGCAGGTAAAAACTACAATATTCTTGAAAGCACAAAAAAACTCTGCACACAATTATAATTCAGTACCAGGAAGCAAGCACCAGACTAATTAGAAATAAAGAAGTGTGTTATATTGTAACAAATCAAAGTAGGTAGCAATATGTACTGTATATATAGGAACAAGTAGACTGTAAAGCAAACACAATTCTCTAGACAAAAGAGTTACTATGTTGTAGTAGTTTAGAATAAAGAACTATATGGGTAAATTAATCTATACCTAGTAATCTGCAAATCAGCATTAAACAATGCCACAGATACCATTAACCACAATGATAAAGGGTACTATAATAACTTTCCTCTAACCAGTGTACTATGCTGCTATCATGGACTCTAGGGATGACTCTGCTAAGTCCCAGGTGATACCCATTACTTTAGGCAGTGAGTGAAGTCCTTGCAAAGCAGCTTGTCTGAAGAGACAATCCTTTGCCCTAGTTTCTTCAGCTGGCTAGCAATGGGACCCAGTCTTTATGGTGGTGCACACAGCCCTAGTAAAATCTAGTAAAGTCTAGTAAAGTAAGTCTAGTAAAGTCTGCATGCAGTGGTAAAGGCTGCTAATCAAATGTCCAGTCCCTAAGTTCTCAGTCTCTACTAGCATCAACAAATTAATGGAAGTACTGCCCTTGCACCAATCCTAGTGATATGGCAGCAATGGTCCTGTTGTTCAGATGTTCTATGGATGTGTCTGCAATTTGTGACTTAGGTCATGGGCTTATATCAGATGGAAACACACCCAGAAAGGCAGGTGTGCCCACTCTGGTCTCTGTGTGGTTAAAGGAGGAAGTTTATTTGGTCTGACAACTGGGAAATACAGCCTTTCTTCTTCCTCACACTGTCTCCTTGTGGGCACTGCAGTTCAATTGTCCATAGGATTGCATATCATAGCTCTAATTTAGGGCTTCAACTCCCACAATCCAATGCAGCCAATATAAAAGTCTATGGAGCCCCTTTGGCTTGTCTGCTCCCCCTGCTGGCAGTAGGGAGACAATGTTACTAGATCCAGCATGAACAATTCATTGAGGGCATAGAGAGCAACTGCAGCACTATGTCATAACTTGCTTTTTCTGTCTAACCAAGCAGATGGCTACATAAGATTACATCGATGACATCAAGTTACCTTCTACAGATCATCAACCTGTTGTTCCTGAAGTTCATTGATGTTCAGCAGAGATGACAATAAGGTTCCATAGTCTGATGACTTTTCCTCTGACTAAATAAAAAGAGATTGTGGTACAATTCTTCCTTGTCAGGATGACTTTCCAATATTCGGATCTTCTCCTGATCACTGCTGTCCTCCACATCATCTATTACTATGATCACATTATCCTTCCCTGTAGACACACAAAGTATTCATAATCAGAGTTACATTCTTCCCCCTGTATGTACAGATCATCATCATTCACATTTTGTGTGAAAAATCAATTATTATTCAATCTATGGTAGTCTTCCAATTGTCTTCAGCCACTGGAGCTCACAATAAAGAGGCATAGGTAGGCATAATGAGGTAGTATTGGGATTAATATCCATATTTATTTCTTCCCTACTTTTCAGTTGATAGGTATCTAGTATTTTTCCAAAATCTCTTTTTCAACATTTATGGAAGCAGCTAGGAGCAGTGGACTATAGTCATATTTTAAGGTTTTCCTTCTGAGTTTTCCCTAAACATGGATTGTTATTTCTTCTAGAAAAGACTGCTGTCTGTGAACAGAAGATTAACAGTCAGTGTGATGAATTATCTGATGACCCAGCCAATCACCAGGAATTGAGGGCCTGGTAAAGTGTGCTAAGCAGGTGCTAAATATTTGTCAGACTTCTTACCATATGGTCTTCCCTCCTTGGCTTAGGCCATGAGATGGTGGTGCTGTGATTTGTATGTTTCTCTCCCCCTGAGCATTAGGGCCTGGGGCTAGAAAGTTCTTGGAGTCTCCCCTCCTGGGAAGTCCGTAGATGTTGTCAGTTGTAAGATAATGTGTTAGGTTTAGGGGCAAGCAGCCTCAGTTGTCCCCTACAAAATAGGTAGTGAGTGATTGGTTGTGAACCATCACATTAACCTTCTCAGCTCTGGAACCCCAGGATACCAATGAAATCTTGATCTCTAGTGAGGCAAGTCCTGTATTCTGGCCATTTCAAACTCGACAGCCAGGAGATGTAGAATCTAGAAAGTTGTGTAGAATTTTGGAGATTTTGTGTTCAGGCAAGTAATATTTGGGTATTCTGTGTCCCCCTCCCACACCACCAACAACAACCCTGACACGTACATGCTTGGGACTTTATTGCCAAGAAATTATGCATAACACATTCACAATGTGACCTGTCATTTAAGACCAACTCCGGGCAAATCAAAAGTTTTCCCTTGCAATGGCGCTGTGCTTGCACTGCAATGGTTAATTGCTAATTTTTATCTAGGAGGCAAGAGAAAGGAGACATACTTACCTGATCTTCAGATCTTCCCCAAACATGTCCCTGCAGCTCCTTCCCCTCTGTGGTGTAGCGATCAAAAACAGTGACATCTTGACGTCATCAAGCCCATAGACCTGCTCTGGACGTGATGACACCAGCAACAGTCCACCTCTGGATCATGGGGGAGCACTGTTTGCTGTTGGAATGGAGCATCAGGTGAGTATAAACGTTCTCTTTTCCCTGGAGAAAACGAGGAGGTAACCCTTGCAGTGCGGACACAGCCCCAAAACCTCTTTTTTGCTCTGAGTTGGGCTTTGAGATGAATGTCAAATCTTTTTCATCAAGATTTATATAATTGCACAATGCATTATGTTCCTTAAATTAAAAAAGTGCTTACAAAAATAAAAATTGTACATTATCTGATGGACCAACTGACAAATTGTGTATGGAAAAATATTATATGGCTTCTTCATACAGATGTAGCATCCTCCTAATCAGGTTGCTAGGTAAATTTTGTTTTTGGCTTAGTCTGTTCATAGTTTCACAGGCTGAGAGTTGTATTATTCCCCCCACCTCTAGAAATTGTTTCTAGAGCTTAAGGATGGATAATTAAAATAACCAGCCTAAATATTGATCAGAGCCTAGCCAATCCCTGGAGAGGTTCACCCACCTGGTAGCTGGGGAAGCTGATACACACTGTCATATGGAGCCCTGGAGAGATTGTTCTTGTCCTGCTAAAGACATTCCACAGCCTCATGGACTGCAACACCTTGAAGAAACTCTGCTAGAGTTTTCTGATATATCAAGATCCCAGCTGTGGCAGAGTTGGGGGGGGGGGGGGGGGTGTTATTCCTAAGCATCCATGGAGCTCGCTAAGAGACCTCACCTAAGGATCTGGTCTGGAGAGCTTACTGAAGAGTGCCTGGTGGAAGCAGGACAGTGTATAGCTGTCCTGTGTCATTGGGAGTATTGACCTCTCCCTCACTGAAGAGTACCCAATAGAAGCTAGGAGTTAGTAGCTATCATGTAGTCAAAGAGAACCTGGAGGAAGCTATGAATTGTGCAGTTGTCCTTGTGAATACTGACCTAGGCTCAAGATCCTAGTGACTGTGTGCTGTTTTTTTTGCGTGACCAGGACCAGTAGTAGCTATCTGACTGAAACTGCTCTCATAGGGTCTCAGATATTGGCCATTCCCTTGATCTCAGCAGTATCCTGGACTGTAAGCTTAGTGAAGACTGCCTTCCAGTACTGTGCACTGTTCCTGAAGTTGCATTGGGTACCTATAGCTATCAAGCTGTGCAGGGTAATCAAGTGCCAAAGAGACTGATCTCATGGTCCCTAGCTGTGAAGCTGTAAGACAGTTGCGAAAGATACCTCATGGTCCCCAGCTGTGAGAGTTTAGACTGTGCTGTCTTTACAAGGAGAAGAGTTCCTTTGATTAATGTTTCTGAGCGTTCCCATACTCCAATTCCTCTCCTGTTATAAGTTCCACAAGCAATAAACCACAACATGATAAACCCCTGGAGCCAGAATGAATGGACTGTTGCTTAGGTGACTGGTGGCCTCTGTACTGTTTGAGAAAGAAGCAGCTATTACCAGCGACCCCTTCAGGGGTGGCACTACATAGAAAACTAACATACAACTGCATGTGATGTTGTTTCACAAATAGTTAGACCCGGAGAAGAACAATGGACTGAGACTGTACATGACTTAGGGAAGGAAAGGGTTAAGATGTTAGGTTAATATTTGGAGGGGTGACAGTCTTACTTAATTGGCGGTCAAAATTAGATTAACATGTTAAAAGATAGATTAGATTTTACTGATTGGGTTAACAGCTATTTAATAAATACAGATATTATAATATCTCTTACCAAGACAAGTTCTGTATTGTTGTATCAGCCGACAATCTGCTGCATCTATCCCATTGACTTGTCCTTTCTTCTTGGTGAAGTGCAAGATACCGAAGGTGCACATCGTAGTATTGGTTGGGTCATTGCTGATGTCTAAAGGCATGACCTCTGAAACATGAGCCTTGAAATTATCTGAATGGAGCAATTCAGTTATCCAGGAATAATCACTAATTGTTGATCTGGAGAAGATCCCAAATTTGTACATTACCTAAAATAAAGAAACAAACAAAATAAAATTTCCATATATGCAAAACTATTTGTAGTCTTGTAATCTGTTAAAAGTAAAACTTAACCACTTCAATACCGGGCACTTTCACCTTCCTGCCCAGGCCAATTTTCAGCTTTCAGCGCTGTTGCACTTTGAATGACAATTGTGCGGTCATGCAACACTGTACTGAATTTGATTTTTTTTTCTCATTTTTTGAGACAGATAGAGCTTTCCTTTTGGTGGTATTCAATCACCACTGTTTTTTTTTTATTTTTTTCTAAACAAACAAAAAAAAGACAGAACATTTATAAAAGCTTTGCAAATAAGTATTTTTTCTTCTTCACTGATGTGCTCTGATGAGGCTGCACTGATGGTCACTGATGAGGCTAGCACTGATGAGGATGCACTGATGATGAGACAGACAGTGATAGGCAGCACTGATAGGTGGCACTAATGGGCACTGGTATACTGCACTGCACTGGAGGCACTGATGAAAGCACTAATGAGCACTGACTGGCACAGATGGGTTGCAGTGATAATCAGGGCACTGATCATCAGTGTAAACCATGTACTGATAGTCTTGCCAGTTATCGGCTTTCCTTTCCTCACATAGACACAGCGTATGAGCAAAGGAATGCCGATAACTGGCAAGTGTGTTTGCATGTGATCAGCGGTGATTGGCCGTTTACCCTGCATGTGATCAGCTGTGTTCAAAGAACACAGCGATCACAAAGCCAGCCTGATGCGTGCTCCAGGGGCTTGCAGGGGGTGGAATACTAGGACAACGTCTATAGAGTCCTTCCCAGACCAGACAACTGCGCCGTAGCCATCTTTTGGCTATAGCAAAGACGGAAAGTGGTTAGAGACCAATCAAACTTTCAGTTTCCAAGGTCCCCATTCACATTTGAGCATATTGCAGCTTGGAGTTCAAAGCTACAAGACTCTGGACAAATTCAATCCCATGTATATAAGAGAAGACCATTCACATATGAATTCCTTGGCACCTGTAGCTCTATTCCTGACACTCTAAAAGCCACTTGTGCTGTTTTTGAGGAAAACTTGGCATTTTGACCCCGTCTGCTTGCATGAGAAGACCTTTTTTATTAGGTGTATTTCAGAAGCTTTTTAGCCTGTAAGAACTAGTGTCCTCCCCAGGGTCGGCGCTAACGCTAGGCAAACTAGGCAGCCTCCTAGAGTGCACTGCCACCTAGGGAGCAGCCACAACCACTGGTCCCAGCCCTCATCCTCTGCTGTACAGTGACTACATCCTTTTTTTTTACTCAGGACATGCTTAGCTCCATGATGATGCGTGACAATGTTCCAGAATGTAGGATGAGCTAATGTCCGTCTCCAGTGCTGACAGCGCTGGTGGGGGCCAGGGTTGTATTGTGTTCTGGGGATCCACTATATGCCATGATCCGCTGCTTGTCTTGCACCCCCCTCCAGCCAAAAGATTACTAATCACCCCCTCCAGACTTCTATGGTTCTCTCCAGGACTTCTGGACCCTGTGCTAACAAACCGGACGGGAAACAGAAGCCGCCACCACCTCCCCCACCACCGCACACCCTGTCCTCTACGGTCCCCAACATTTTCCCTGCCACCTCTGGCCCCACCACACCCCCTTCATCAGCAGCTATGGTGGTGGTGATCTCCA